CTTCCATCTGTGTCCAAAATGTCACATATACCCCATATACTCAATTTTACCTTAAGGTTTTTGGGAGTTTTTATGCTTATGTGAATTCTTCATGCACACATATTAAAAATTTATTTTCTCCTGTTACTCTGTCTCTATTAATTTGATTATTAGCCCAGCAAAAAAGAATTTAGAAGGTGGAAAGAAAAGTTTAGTTGTTTTTTTTTTTAGCTCCCACATAAGCATTATTCTCCAATAAAAGGAACCAAAGCTTCTTGGAGAAATTGTTGACTCCAGGGCTGAAGGAGAGAAAATACAAGATAAACCCAGAATATCTTGTAATGCCAGAAGTAAGAAAGTATTTTAAAAAGTATGGGGCATGTTTAAAGGACAGTGTCAACCTGAAGGAACTCCCTGTGGCCAAAATTGGAACAATTTGAACAACAAAATAAAGAATGATGGTGTTGAAATATAACCCTTATAATAAAACAAATATCGATTATTCCATTTTTATATAATTAATTAATTAATAGAGAGGGGGCAGGTCATGAAAATCATCATTAAGCAAACACCATGGTAATAACTGTTGTAAACAAGGTCCACTGATGGGTACTGAAGTTGAGGAGAAATAGCATGTTTGCATAGTCAGAAATGATCTCTTGTAAGATATTAATTACCAAGGGAAAAGTAGAATTTTCTCAGTGGAGAAACTCAGCAGACACTCAGGTTCACTTTAACCAAGTGGACAAGGTAAACATTTCCAGTAATAAGACCCACTGACAGCACATACCCCTTGATAAGATGCACTGAGCATGGCACACCTCTTCTGTAGATTTCTCGCAAAAATGCATAACCTCATCCTAGTCATGAGAAACATTAAACAAACCCACACTGAAGGAGGTTCTGGAAAACTACCACCAAAAGTGTCAAGGTCATAATGATAAGGAGAGATGTCAAGAACTATCACACACTAGAAGAGACTAAGGAGGTTCTATGACTAAATGCAAAGTGGCGTCCTGGAAAAATAAAAGGACATCAGTCAATGGCATTGTGCCAATTTTAATTTCCTGTTTTTGATAATTGTACCAAAGTAGATGTTAGCATTAAGGGAAGATGGGGAAACTATACATGGGAGTGCTCTATATTATCCTTCAAATTATCCTTCACTCTAAAATTATTTGAAAATAAAAACAATTTGAAAACTACTGGCTTAGGATGGTGGGAAGGGGACATGTCCCAGGCCTCTTCTCCTCATGTTACCCCTGAGCTCCAGTGGGGAGCGCCCACACTTGTTTTCCTTTGCTGGTATCACAAGATGCCTGACCCCGAGAAGAGACAGACAGGCTATCCTCAAAAAGTCCCTGGTGCCAGACAGTAGGAATTCTGACTGGAACACTCTGGTGCCAGATTTCCCTCATGGTCTTCATTTTTGCACCCCTGCTCCATATGGTCAGTTCTCCACAGACGCTCATAAAGTCTGTTTAAAACAGAAAATAGCTCATGTTACTCACCCACTCAAAACTCTCCAAAGGCTCCCCATCTCACTTAGAATGAAATCTCAAAGCTAAGGTCTGTATCCTGGCCACAAGATCCCACATGACCTGCTCCCGGGCACCTCCTTATTTATGCCCCACCTTCCCCTCAGCTGACCGTGCCTCACCCCCTGGGGCCTTCTCACTGGTCCTTGGGCCGGTCAAAGCACACTTCCTCTCAGAGTCCTTGCCTTGACCATCCGTTGGCCTGGACAACTCTGCCCCAGTGACTTGCTGCTGCCTTCCTCGGGTCTCGCTCAGTGACACCTCCTCTGAGAGGCTTTGGGTGGCCACTTCCTCTCCCCTTACCGTACTTCAGTTTTCTTTGGGAGCACTTCTCACAACCTGACATCATACACGTGAAAATGTGGTGTTTGTCAGCAGTGTGTATCATTTGCTCCTCGGCAGACTTGTGGTAGTGTCCCTTCCTGGACCGGCTCAGTGCCTGGCTTCTGGGTGGCACTCAGCAACCACTCTGAATTTTGTGTATGTGAGTGTACAATTTTGTGGACACGTGTGTGTGCATCTGTTGTAGGGGAAAGTCTATCCCATGCCATGCCCACTGCCTGAGCACTACTAGAACTGTCAGCTAGGTACACGGCAGAGCTGAGGTTAAGCTCATAAATCTCTTCAGAGACCACCTGACTCCTCCTGAGGGGCACACATGTACTGGTTTGTGCTGGTTCCTGAAACAGGCCTATGGCCCGACCTGGGGAGGCCTGATAGGCAGTTTCCCTTTGTCTGGGGTCTCTTAGGCCCCAGCACCGAGATCTCTCCTGGCCTGTCTACTTGTATATAACCTTCTAGCGCCTGCCATGCGGTGCAGAGGGTATCCATGGTGTTGGGGGCCACCTGGGATGAGCGGTGTATGTAAGTTCCCTTTATAAACTTTTTTTTTTTGTTATACAGGTATGCTTACTCTGTGAACATTTACTGAGCCATACTCTTTTATTTTGTGCTTTTCCCCCCTACATGTTACATATCTTTCTTTATTTACAAAAAACTTTTAAATTGAATTTATTGGGGTTCTTAATAAACTCTTAATGTGATGATAGAGTTGATCATAAAATTTTCGAGGGCCGAGAGACCAGAGGAAGAGATGATCAGCCTCTTCCTCTGGTCTCTTGGCCCTGGGAAATTTTTCCAGCAATCTGCATGTGTGCACATGTGCACATGTGCCATCTCTCAGGCTTGGATCGTCATGGAGTGGCTGCTGGCTAGCAGTGGTGGCTTGAGCCTTTGTCCCTACAGGCTTAAAAGACACCCCAAGCTATGGCAGTTAAAGCCTAGGGCTCCTTAGTGATCATCAGGAGCTGCCTCCTGGGCAGCGTGTGGCCCCTTGGGGTGCTTTGGCTTATCCTGGGAAGAAACTTAGCCCCTGGAAAGCAAGTATGTTATTTTTTGTTATAGGTTGAGATGGGAGATAAATTTTGAACTTTGAGTAGTAAAAGTAATGTGACCTCATTTTATCCCTTAAGCTAGCAATTTTAAACCAGTGTCCTGTGGCACACTGGTGTGCCGCAAGAATTTTTAAAACACACAATACCTGACTATTTAGTCAGGGGTACTGACCTCTTTTCCCTTAGACTGTCAAATAAAAAAATGACCACAGCCAACACAATTGCTGTCTGGTGTGAATGAATCAAAATTGTACCTTTTTTTTTTTTTGGCAGATTAGCAAAAAGTATATTTTTTGTTGTGCCACAGAATTTTAGTAGTTAGTTTGTGTGTGCCATGAGATGAGAAAGTTTGAAATTTGCTGTCTTATGCTGATAATGCAGGACAAATTTGTAGCTTAAAAAAAGAGGAGTAGGATGATGACGATGAGGAGGAGGAGGAGGAGGCAGAGAAAAAGAACACACAGGGTCTGCTGTGAGTGACTCTTGAAAGAAGACTGGTGTGTTTTGGCAGTGGCAGGTAGTGTTCCTGTCTCCAGGTGCCCCTCTTGCTGAACATAGCTGACTGGCTCTAAGTTCTGGGTGCCTAAGAAAACCCCTTCCTGCTTCTTCCCAGGCCTCAAAGTCACACAGGCCTTCTGAGTCTTTACCAGCCTAGGGAATCACCTGGCTTCCAGTACCCTTGGGTTTCTCTACTGGGGAGAAGTTATATAGGCTCTTTCTGGGGAGGGTGTGAGGACTGAAGGAGCAGTCCCTTTACAGGTCAGCAGAGGGCCTGGCACATGTTAGGTCCCAAGGAAAACGAACTGTTCTAGTTGGTTGGAAAGACTGCTTCATGCCTCACACACAGCTCCCTGGTTAAATACTGCCTCTATCTCATTCATACATTATCTCTAAAAAGACCATTAGGTGTTGAGTAGAGTTGCCAGATTCAGTTAAACATGAGTTTCGGATAAACAATGAATTACTTTTTTAGTGTAATATGTCCCAAATAGTACATATGCTCCTGGGACACACTTAAACTAATCATTATTTGTTGTATAACTGAAATTTAATTTTAACTGGGCACTGTTTTATCTTGCAAACCTAGTTTTGAGGAGTGGCAACTGGGCTCTGCCTCCCATTGCTGGCATCTCCTTCTGCCTTCCCAGGACATTTCCCATAGGTACTTGGTGCATAGCCGAGTGATAAAAACTTTTGTTGCACATGGGCTGTGATGGTCTCGGTCTTGGTCTTGGTTTTGTGTTGGAAAAACAAACCCCAGAAAAATGTCAGAATCAATAAGTTAATGAAGATCCCTTTCAAAACTGTATGTATAGTCTAATATCAGCAGTTTAAATGTATGTATAAAGATAATAGAGGGAATACATTCAAATATATTTCGATAGTTAATGTGTTGTTACAACGCAGCCCAAGTGCTATCAGCCTCAGTAGCTCATGCAAGTGAATGAAGCTACGTTAACAAACACAAAGGTCTACTTTTCACTGATATATTTAAATGAACTCTTGGCCCTGTGGCCACAATCTGTCCCAGGAGTTTCTGAGAGTTCCCAGAGAGATATTTTTCCAGTTGCTCCAAACCAGTCTGCAAGCTCTAGTTGCCCCACAGTGCCCCCTGCCATTTCTAATCCCCCCTTGCTAGTGTCCGCCTTCGCATACTACTGGGGGAGCCAGTGTCCTCACCAAGGCTGATGCCTCCAGAAATGGCTGCCAAAGTCCAAGTCAGTGATGCTCAGGGGTGAGGGGGCTGGTTCCATGAAGAGGTGGGGCAGGGCCCCCTCCCACACCCTTGCTCCCTCTGGTCCTTGGGCAGCACCCCTCCAAGACTCTCAGCCCCTGGCTCTTAGTCTTCCAGCACAGAGGTTCACGCCATGCTTGTGTCGGGATGAAATCTCACACCAAGAAACTTAAAACACTGCCATCATACTAATGACATTTTTTTAAATTATAACTTAAAAATATATATATATTATCTACATTTCATTTTTTTTCTTCTAGAAACTTTAATTCCAAAAATGGCTGGAACATAAATGGACACTAAGGACCACAGAGACCTACAGAAAGCAAATAAGAGGAACTGACCTACTGATTTTTATTCTAGAATCAGGTATGGGTTGAGAGCTTTGGTCCGCAGATTCTTCATCTCCTCCAGCACCTTTTCTCCTGCCTTTTCCATTGGTTGTGCTTGGTCTCTTACCTCTCTAAATATCCAGAAAACCAAACAAGGATACATCAGGACTTCATAAAACGCTTTAGTCACCCACCAATGCCCTCACTGAAGGTTTTAGCAGTTGTTTTACACACACACACACACACACACACACACACACACACACACACACGATATTAGTGGTAATTTCGTTACCAGAGAAAACACTTGGCTAAGTGATTCAAACCTGGCTTCTATCTTAGCTGCACCAGTTTCTAAGCATGGCCAAATTATCTAAACTTTCAGTTTCCCTTTCCAGATGTAGAAATGGTGGTAATTCCCATCTGCCAGTGCTATTGCAAAGGTGAAATGAGATTATTCATAGACATCCTAGCATGATGTCTTCTAAATATTCAGTTGGCTATAGTTGATTCCTCATGGTTTAATCTACTTCATGAGAAAAGTAGACACACAATATCTCTGACTCTAATGAAGGCCGCAGAAGGGTGAGAATCAAGAGGGACGGATAAATACCTGGACGAGTAGTGGCTGAGTGGAGCCCAGACCTTTGCTGGGTGTGGCAAGGGGTTGCTGGGTAGAACTTTCTCATTAAGTGAGAGGAAATAATGAGTGCATTTGGTTCAAAGGACAGATATCTAAAGATTGTGAGCTCAGCCATATGACCTGCTGAGAGGAACACATTATAAAATCAAGTGATTCTGGCCCTGGCTGGTGAAGCTCAGTTGATTGGAACATTTTTCTGTGGACCAAAAGATCGTTAAGTTCGGTTCCTGGTCAGGGCACATACCCAGGTGGTGGGTTTCAGACCCAGTCAGGGTGTGTACAAGAAGGCAACCAATCAATGTTTCTCTTTTTCCCTCAAGGCATTGGAAAAAAAGGTACTTGGGTGAAGATAAAATTTAAAAAAAAATTCAAGTGATTCTGAAACATTTTCTAAAAAGGGTGAAATATAAAGTTCTGCAAATACCTGGTAATTTTGAAAAAGCAGAAGTACCTGAAAATGGAGAATTAAAATGTTCCCTAATACATATAAAAATATGAACAATAAAATGGCAATAAATACATATCTATCAACAATTGAATCTGAAAAACAAAATAAACTAACAAGCAGAACAGAAACAGACTCATAGATACAGAGAACATTTAGACAGTGGCCAGATGGGAGGGGGCCGGGTGAAATGGTAAAAGGATTAAGAAGTACAAATTGCTATTTACAGAATAGTCATGGGTATGTAAAGTACAGCATAGGGGATACAATCAATAATGTTCTGATAACTATGTATGCTGTCAGAAGGGTACAAGATTTATCGAGATGATCACTTAATAACTTATATAATGTGTAATCACTGGGCTATATATATGAAACATATAATATCATATGTCAACTCTAATTGAAAATAAAAATGATTAAATGGCAAAAAAAATTTGCACCATTTTATGGAATCAACTATAAATATACAGGTCATGTCTCCTTTTAAAGATATTAATGATTGAATGATATTGTGAAAATCAAAGGAGTATTGAATGATGTGTCAGCAACTTTGGTTACTCTCACAGTTTCTTGGATGTTTTACGTGATTCCCTTAGTGGGTCGTGAGAGAGCTGAGATCACCACCAGGGTCGTAAAGAATCTTTCAGGTTAATCTCAGCCATCAAGGGAGAGCAGATGGTTCTTTGCACCCACAAATATATTATTTGCCAGAAACTAAATAGACAGCAGTTTTCATGGAGAAAGTAAACACCACTGATGTGTTCCTTTGTTCCGTCCCTGTCTGTCCAAGCTCTGGTTTTGTGTGTGCCTGATAGTGAATACTCTCTGTCAGCTTCTGGCTGAGGCTAAGGAGATAAGGAAAAGGCACAGGTAAGGACAGAGAATACAAAACTGAGCATTGGATAATACTGATAGAGGCTGAAGAGAATTTCTGAACCAAAGCAACTTTTGAAAATCATCTATGGGATATCAAATTGTTGGAATACTAGTCAGCCAATAAAATGATAATTATGTTGATGATTTTGACACATGAAAAAATGTAAATAAAATAACTGCAAAATATGTGAATTCAAAATGCATGGTTATTTGTACTAAAAATATGTGAAATGTATGTGTATTTTGAAGAAATTGGAAACTAATTTGGTGTGTAAAAAACGTTTAGAGTTTATTGTGAATTTATTTTGTTAGGTAAATTATCTGAAATACATTTAAAAAAGAAAAAGAGATATACCACTTTGGGTGAATATATAAAGTAATAACTTCTATTTCATTGAATAGTAATATGATGATCCAGGGGCATTCAATATTAGTTCTGTCAGATGAAAAACCATGCTGAAGAGCAAGTGAGCCCAGAGGTATTGGATAGCACCTTGCTCATGGGACAACCCCTTCTATATCCAGGGTAACTTTTGAAATAAAAAAAAGAAGTTTTTATTTAAAACTCCTAGTCAACTGTTTGATACCTGAAACAAAATGCAATGCAAAGGGCATCTCTTTGTTGGGGTGTAAGAGGTTTTGTGTGCTATGTAGTATAACATGATATTTTATAGTTAATTAACTGATCAAAACAGATGTTCACTGAAATTCTGTTTATAATTTTTATTTCCTAAATTTTCTTTTACCAGCTGCTGCTAAGCTATTTTCTGAGCAGTGCTGGGTGCTGTAGGCCTCTAAATCAATCACAGACACACCAAAGGGACCCCAGACTATTCTAAGACACATGGCATTCCCTTAGAAAAAGGTAGAGCCTCCCAAAAATCCCCAAAGAAAGTTAGAAGACAAACTGAGAAATTTGCAACACATATAAGAAAGGGTAATTATCCTTACTATATGAGGGACTGTTAAAAATAACTAAGAAAAATGTAAAGATTTCCTATAAAATAGACAAAACAGGCTCTTCTTAAAGAAGAAAAACAACTGATAAGCAAAAGATTTTATTATCACTTGAAAAAAAAGAAGTTAAAATTAAAGCAATAAGATGGTCATTTAAATATCTATCACATTGGCAAAGAAGGAAAAAAATGATGTATTTTGTTTAGTGCATTTGAATGTGGGCAGTCCTGACCTCTGCTCATAGGGGGTATGTTGATGTACTTTCTGCATGGCATTTACACAATATATATTAAAACTACAATGCATACTGATCTAGCATGTAGATTTCTAGGAATTTATCTTAAGGAAACAGTCTGATAAGTTTGCAAGAAATTATGGCACAAAGATGTTTATTGAAGCACTACTGGTAACAGCAAAACATTGAAAAGAATTTACATGACCATTAGAAGAGGGTCGGTTAACTAAATTATGGTACATCTACCAGTGAAATATAATGATGTATACCTGTATTTATAAATATGTTTATGATATATTGCAAACTAAAAGTGTAGAAAACAATATGAATAAGATGATTGAATTTTGTTAAAATATACAGGGTCTGGCAGAAGCAATGCCATTGAGTGTGGTTGGTAGGGTACGTGAATGTCTTGTATGAGATGGACGGCAATTTGAACACTGCTTAAAATGTCGTATGGTGTGCTTGAGTGTGATATTGTTATGTTACAGAACATGCTTATGATTTTGTAATATAAGGTTTGGTATAGATTACTAGATCATAAAAAAGGGGCAATATTTGTGCTGGACCCTGTATATTAGGTCTGTCTGGAAAAAGTCCAGCCATTGTTAATATAACAAGATTGGTTTGTGTGACATCAGTGTAACCTGGCAGCCAAAGAGAGTGGATTGGAATGCACATGCATAAACAATGACAACTTCACTGTACTAGTTAGTGGGGGCGGTAGGTGCCATTGAATAAGCATGTGTATTGTGTGGCCATTGCATTCAAAATGACTGAGCAAGCAGAGCTATGAATCTGCATCAAATTTTGTGTTAAGCTTGAACATTTCTCCATAGAAACTATTCTGATGATTCAGAAGGCCACAGCTATGGGCAACTGGTGATTGGTAGCTTCATCATGGCAAAACTTGCCCACTCAAGCATAAGGTCTCATGCAGAATTTTCTGGCGAAACATCAAATCACCCAGATAACTTAGCTCCCTACAGCCCAGATTTGGCGCCCTGCAACTTCTGTCTTTTCCCAAAACTACAATCACCTTTGAAAGGGAAGAAATTTCAGACTGTTGATGAGATTCAGGAAAGTATGACGGGGCAGCTGATGGTGATTGGAACTGTGTGAGGTCCCAAGGTGCCTACTTTGAAGGGGACTGAGGCGTCATTGTCCTATGTACAATGTTTCTTGTATCTTGTATCTCCTTCAATAAATGTCTCTTTGTCATAGTATATGGCTGTATACTTTCTGGACAGGTCTTGTTCATATATATATGTATGTACATTCATTAACTTAAATAAATAAATATTTGGCAGACCATGCATCAAAATGTACAATTTACTGCCTCTAGGTGGTAGGGTTATTGTTTTTATTTTATTCCTTATATTTTTCTGTATTTTTTATTTTTAATAATAAAAAATCATTTTTTTAAAATAAAAATAATTTTTAGTGTTATACCTGGAATTTCAAACTTATAAACCATATGAATTATATGTGGTTATTTTTGTTATAAAAGTATTCAACGAAAGCAGTTTCTTTAGGGATGATGATGATGTTTTCTTAGCTAGTTGGCCCCTAATGTAGGGGCAAAGGGAGAAATTATCATTTGCCGAGAATCTAGTTCACATCAAGCAACTAGCTAGTTGTCTTCACATTTGTGTTTCATTTAATCCTCACAACCACCTGTGAAAGAGAGTTTATTTTCTGCATGTTACAAACGAGGAAACTGACACCCAGTCACTGAAGATAAGTAACTTGCCTGGGAGATCAAACATGTAATAAATGGTGGAGTTGGGATCTAGCCACAGGTCTCATTTGGCTCCAGTGCCTGGGTTCTTCAAACTGAATGAAATGAATTCAGCTATCAATAAGAAGCAAACACATCTCTGAATTTAAATGATAAGCAACTGGAAAAATTGGATTCAGTTTTTAAGGACTTGCTTGCCAACTATATTTAAGGGAATGCAGTTCTGCCTAAAATAAAATACACATGTAAATATCAAAAGCATAAGAAAATTCTCTCTCTTGAAACCTGAGATATTTATATTCAGACAACATGGCAGTTCTGTGCTTTGTGTCAGACAAATTTTATCCAAGGCTACTTCTTACTAGGCATAAAAGCATCCACGTACTTCTCTTTTTTGGTGTCCTTGTGGTCCAACATAGGAAATTCCATTTCAATCATTTCTGGAGTCAACATAACTTCTACATTCTGTTCATAGAGCTCACTGAAAAAGAATAAGATGTATAGATCTAACAGTTTTTCCTCCCCAAAATAGAGAAATACTGTGATTATTTCGGAGTTATGCAATTCTTCTGTCCTTCAACATTAGTTCCAACAAGGGACTGTTAGCTGTGTTGAGTCCATGTTAAGAGAAGCATAAGGCTGATAAATTGCTTTCTACCAACAAATGACAATAGGAGTAATTACTTATAACCACAGAATAGAAAGTAATTTCTAAAGCTGGGTTACAGAATTCATATTCTTTTCAAGTACACATGGAACATTGATCAATGTTGACCATATTCTGGAATATAAAGAAAGCCTGAATGATTTCAAGAGTACACTCTTTGGCCACAGTGGAATCTGAATAGATATGAACCACAAAGAAGATAACTAAAAAAATCCACAGCTGTTTGGAAAATTAAACAGTATGTTTCTAAATAATCTATAGGTGAAAAAAATTAAAAGTATCAAGCTTATTTTTATCTTGTGGCCTGCTATTCCCTAGACTGGGATAGCTTTTTCTGTTAAGGGTTTACAGGTCATATGGTCTCTTGAATAAATACTCAATTCTGCTGTTGTAGTATGTTATGTATGAAAGGAATCAGAAAATACATAAATAAAGGAGTGTGGTTATACTACAATAAGACTATTTGCAAAAATGAGTGGCAATCCAGATTTGGCCGTGGGCCATAGTTTGCCGAGCTCTGCACTAGAGTTTTGCAGTTTGACGATTATAGTTTGGTCACTGCACATATCAGCTGGAGCAGAGTAGAGAGAAAGAGTGTGAAGGATATACACTCACTCCTTTAAGGATTCTGGCTTCAAGTAGAGTATCTCACATCTGCTCACATTCCTTTGGCAAGGGCTTAGTCAAATGGATTAATTAACTGCAAGGGAGGCTGGAAATATAGCCCCTAGTTTCAACAACCCTACCGCTTTTGAAGAAGAGGAGAATGCATTTTTTGGCAGCAGCCGTCTCCACCACACTTGGTTAAAGAGAAATTCTTCCAAGATGGACAAAGGCAACAAAGTTCTCAAAGTTTGGAATTACAAACAGGAGCCCTATTGAGCAGTGATACATGAATAGAGGTGGGCCTAGCAAGTTTCTGTTAAGGAAAGTGCCTGTGAAAACTGCAGAATTTGTTCCAGTCCCATAATAATGAAAGCTAATAGCTCCTAAGCAGTTGTTATATGAATCACTGTGCTGGTGGCTTTACAAACATGATCTTCCCATTAATAGTTTCCTTACCTCTAAGGTAGGGAATATAATAATAAGACCTCATTGTGGAAATTCAATGAGATTGCCTGCAAACCGCCGTGCCGGATCCATATTGAGTGCTCAGCCAATATAGGTTAGTATAATTACCATCCTTATCATCAGCATCATCATCTCCTTTAACTCTAACACCACCTTATGATGTAAGTACTACTATTCTCATTTCAAATATGAGGCAACTAAGTCACAATAGTCTTCACATTAGTGGTGAATGTGTTTTGGTTTGCTGAGTGGCTCCCCAGAGGCCCTGCTAGACAGGACTTCTTCCTCTGAACTGCAAGCAACTGTGTACCACCCGGCCCTGGCTGCAGCCTTCTCAGGGATGTCCCCATGCAGTGGTTTGAATGGAAGACTCCAACCTTTCTGTTCAGAGTTGGATTCTTGCTTTAAATGTTCAGGGAACTGGATATATGTCTCAGATATTTAGGATTTCACTAATTGGTTATTTACAAGTAAGAATGTTTAAGTGGGCATGGTGATAAGAGATTCACGGACATGTTTTCATTAGTGTTGGGTGCTTATCAGTAAAATGAAATTTAAGTGCGTTGGTTTGGGGCCTATGTTTCCTTATGCCTCTCCAAGTCCTACCCATTTTCCAAGGACTGATCCAAGCCTACATGACCAATGAAACCTTCTAAATCCACTTAGCACTGCCGTTACTCTCCCCTCCTTTGAACTCTTGGAGCACCTATGGATCAGCAGATTTGAGACCTCAGAGACTATGTACTTCCTACCATGAATTTAGCATCTTATCTACCTAAGGGTATGGCTGGGTGTTAGCCTTTCATCATGTGGGTTTCAAGCTCAGGCACTGTATACTCTTTTGAACTGTCTCATAGAAACCAGCTTATTTTTGGAAAACAGACTACATCAGAGACTAAAGGTAAAAGTTGTACCGTTCGACTGTTTCCAATCTGTCGTCTTCTGGTAAGGTGTTAAGAATGGCAGGGACATTTATAGGAAGCATAGTTGAATTGAGGGAATCACAGCTGTGGAAAAATCACACAAGCAGCCAAAGATAAATGATTGCATTAAGAGTCCTGAGATCTTTGTATAATATTTTAAGGCACTTTCATTTTACCCCTGCTGAGGCCTTTCCATTATGTCCCCCTTCACTCCTGACATTCACTTACATCTCCCTAGAGGCAAAGGCAGAGAGTGTGGCAGGCAGCAGTCAAATCCAAGAGAATGTTGATAAATAAGGCATTTTCCAGGGTTTAGAAACAGAATTTTGTATGAAAAAGAAGGGAAAGTAAGAAAAATACATATATCCTACTTAGTGTTCTAAAGAGAAACAAAGGATAGACAAGTTAGAAGACCAAGCTGGTTACCACAAAAGTGGGAGGGAGAAAGGAGGAAGCAACACATCTCTGAGTGCCTTTCACGTATTTCTGAGTTTGGAAAGCACGTCAATGTTCTGCATACCAAGACATAACATTACATCAATAAGAAAGGAAAGCAAAAAAAAACCCAACTGAATGCAAAGTGAAACCAAGACTATTTCACATGAATTCCGTAACCACAATGAGGGAATGAAAGAGGAAGAAAGGGAAGAAAATAAAAAGAAAAGAAAGAAAGGAAAAAAGGAAGGTGGGAAGGAAAGTAATCCAAGTAATTTATAAACACAGTTATTGGCTATATATTTCCAGTTTTGAAAAAGATGGGGTAAGGGAAAACTACAAATAAATCTGAACTCTATTATGCTTGCTTATTAAAATGGTTATAGGTGCAGTAATTCTGAAACTATTTCAGATGTACTGTAAAATTGAGTGACTAAATAGTTAGGAGCCAGGATTTTCACAGTGAAAGAAGGAACATGCAAATATGGAATAGAGGAAGCAAGCAATCTATGGATTAGGACTGCAATTACAAGCATTGATGCGAATGCATGATTTCTGAAATATATACTGTACAAGTATGTATTTATGTGTATATGTACATATGTGCACACTATATGTGCATATGCGTTTTGGTATGAACATGTATATATGCATGTATGTGTATGTGTGTATATATAGTTATATATATTTCCCTACACACCCTGGCTTATCTGCTGAGAAGGCCAAGAAACAGCACCCACTCCCCCCAGTGAAAATGCGTATATGGAACACCCAGATTTTGGTCTTTATATCATTCCTCACGAAAAGGAATCTGTCTCCACCATCCAGAGATTAGTCTACGATTGACTTTTTGACAAAGAATGCAGGTGCTAATTGACAACCCCTCTGAAACCTTGGAGGGCACAGACAAGGGGGAATCTTGCCCAAAAGAGGGACACAAGAGCTGAAAGCCTGGACTACTTTCCAGAAAGAGGTTGGTCAGGGAAGATGGAAAGACAGCAACCAAGTGCTTTTAAAATTTTTTTTTTGAATTTTTAAATATATTTTATTGATTATGCTATTACAGTTGTCCCATTTCTTTTCTGCCCTTTATTATTCCACTCCACCCTGCACCCCCCACCATCCACCAGTATTCCTTCCTCCCTTAGTTCATGTCCATGGGTCATACATATAACTATGGCTTCTCCATTTCCTATACTATTCTTAACCTCCTCCTGTCTATTTTATACCTATCATTTATGTTTCTTATTCCCTGTACCTTTCCCCCATTCTACCTCCACCTCCTTACAGATGCTGATAACCCTCCCTGTGATCTCCATTTCTGTGATTCTGTTCCTGTTCTAGTTGTTTGCTTCGTTTGTTTTTGTTTTTGCTTTTAGGTTCAGTTGTTGATATTTGTGAGTTTGTTGTCATTTTACCATTCATAGTTTTGTCATCTTCTTTTTCGTAGATAAGTCCCTTTAACATTTCATACAATAAGGGTTTGGTGATGATGAACTCCTTTAACTTGACTTTATCTGGGGAGCACTTTATCTTTCCTTCCATTCTAAATGACAGCTTTGCTGGATGGAATAATCTTGGAATAGGTCCTTGCCTTTCATGACTTTGAGCACTTCTTGCCAGCCCCTTCTTGCCTGAAAGGTTTCTTTGGAGAAATCAGCTGACAGTCTTACGGGAACTCCTTTGTAGGTAACTGTTTCCTTTTCTCTTGCTGCTTTTAAGAATCTCTCCTTATCTTTAATCTGCATAATGTAATTATATTGTGCTTTGGTGTGTGCTTCCTTGGGTACAACTTCTTTGGGACTCTCTTCAGCTTCCTGGACTTCCTGGGAGTCTACTTTCTTTGCCAGACTGGGGAAGTTCTCCTTCACTATTTGTTCAAATAAGTTTTTAATTTTTATTTATTTATTTATTTCAAATACATTTGTCCCTGCCTTCCCCCCACCACTTTCCCTGCCCCCTTCCCCCTTCTCCCTCCCTCAATCTTTCCCCACTTTGGCTTTGTCCATGAGTTCTTGCTATATGTTCCTTGACTTGCCCCTTCCCTTCCTTTTCCCCCGCACACCCCTCCCTCCTTCCCTCTTGTCTCTGTTGGTTTCTTTTCCTTTCAGTGTTGCTGGTCTTATTTTCCTTGCATCTTTGTATTGTTGGTTAGGTTCCGCTTATAGGTGAGATCATGGTATTTGTCTTTCGCCCCCTGGCTTATTTCACTTAGCATAATGCTCTCTAGTTCCATCCATGCTCTCACGAAGTTTAGTAGTTCTTTTTTCCTTCTGCTGCGTAGTATTCCATTGTGTAAAAGTACCATAGTTTTTTGATCCAGTCATCTACTGATGGTCATTTAGGTTGCTTCCAACACTTGGCTATTGTAAATTGTGCTGCTATGAACATTGGGGTGCATAGGTTCTTTTGAATTGGCGTTTTCGGATTCTTAGGGTATAGTCCTAGCAGGGAAATCACTGGATCAAAAGGCAGTTCCATTTTCAGCTGTTTGAGGAAATTCCACACTGCTTTCCACAGTGGATGCACCAGTCTGCATGCCCACCAACAGTGTACTAGGGTTCCCTTTTCTCCACAGCCTCGCCAGCACCTGTTGTATGTTGATCTGTTTATGATGGCCATTCTGACTGGTGTGAGGTGGTACCTCATGGTGGTTTTGATCTGCATTTCTCTGATGGCTAGTGATGCTGAGCATCCTTTTGAATGTCTCTGGCCTCTATGTATCTCTTCTTTGGAAAAGCGTCTGCCCAGGTCCTTTGCCCATTTTTTGATTGGATCGTTTGTCTTCTTGGAGTGGAGTCCAGTGAGTTCTTTATATATTTTGTAGATCAAACCTCTATCTGATGTATTATTAGTAAATATATTTTCCCATAAGATTGGCTCCCTTTTCATTTTGCTGATGTTTTCTTTTGCCGTGCAGAAGCTTCTTATTTTGATGAGGTCCCACTTGTTTATTCTTTCCTTTATGTCCCTTGCTTTAGGAGACATTTCGGTGAAAAAATTGCTGCATGGGATATCTGAGAGTTTCCTGCCAATGTTCTCCTCTAGGACTTTTATGCTGTTGCGACTTATATTTAAGTCTTTTATCCATCTTGAGTTTATTTTTGTGTATGGTGTCAGCTGATGATCCAATTTCAATTTTTTGCATGTAGCCGTCCAGCTCTCCCAACAGCATTTGTTGAAGAGGCTATTATTACTCCACTTTATGCATCTGCCCCTTTTGTCAAATATTAGTTGCCCATATAGACCTGGGCTTATTTTTGATCTTTCTATTCTGTTCCACTGATCTATGTGTCTGTTCTTGTGCCAGTACCAGATTGTTTTGAGTATAGTGGCTTTGTAGTATAGTTTGATGTCCAGTATTGTGATCCCTCCCACTTTCTTTTTCTTTTTCAAAATTGCTGTGGCTATTTGGGGTCATTTATGGTTCCATATAAATTTTTGAAATGTCTGTTCTATTTCTGTGAAATATGTCATTGGTATCTTAATGGAGATTGCATTGAATCTATAAATTGCTTTGGGTAGTATGGACATTTTGATGATATTAATTCTTCCAATCCATGAGCACGGTATATGCTTCCATTTATTTGTGTCTTCCTTAATTTCTTTCTTCAAAGTTGTATAGTTTTCTGCATACAGGTCTTTTACCTCCTTGGTTAAATTTATTCCTAGGTACTTTATTTTTCTTCTTGCTATAGCGAATGGTTTTTTTTTTTTTCTTTCTGATTTCTTCTTCTTCTATTTCATTGCTGGTGTATAAAAATGCCTTTGATTTCTGAATATTGACTTTGTATCTTGCTGTTTTGCCAAATTCACTTATTAGGTTGAGGAGTTTTTTGGTGGAGTCTACAGGGTTTTCTATGTACACTATCATGTTATCTGCAAACAAGGATAGTTTTACTTCCTCCTTTCCTATTTGGATGCCTTTTATTTCTTCTTCTTGTCTGGGCGCTGTGGCTAGGACTTCCAATACTGTGAGGAATAGAAGTGGTGGAAGCGGACATCCTTGTCGTGTTCCTGATCTTAGTGGGAAAGTTTTAGTTTTTGCCCGTTGAGAATGATGTTGGCTATAGGTTTTTCATATATGGCCTTTATTGCGTTGAGGAATGCCCCATTTATTCCCATTTTGCTGAGTGCTTTGATCATAAATGGGTGCTATACCTTATCAAATACTTTTCCTGCATCTCTCAAGATGATCATGTGGTTTTTGTCTTTCCTTTTGTTTACGTGATGTATTATGTTTATTGATATGCATATATTGAACCATCCTTGCATTCCTGGGATGAATCCCACTTGATCATGGTGGATAATCTTTTTAATGTACTGGTGGATACAGTTTGCCAATATTCTGTTGAGGATTTTAGCATCTATGTTCATCAGTGAAATTGGCCTGTGGTTTTCTTTCTTTGTAGGGTCTATATCTGGATTTGGGATTAGGGTGATGCTGGCCTCATAAAAAGAGTTTGGGAGTCTTCCCTCTTCTTGGATTTTTTGGAATAGTGTGAGAAGGACAGGGGTTAGCTCTTCCTTAAATGTTTTGTAAAATTCTCCTGTGAAACCATCTGGCCCTGGGCTTTTGTGTGCTGGGAGTTTCTTGATTACTGCTTTCATTTCCCCAGCTGTTATCGGTCTGTTCAAGCTTCTGCATC